TAGATCTGATTTTCTAGTTGCTACTTCACAGCTGCTTATTTGCACATGAGTAAGTCTTCAAACCACAAAAAAACCCAAACAAACAAAATGGAGCCTATAGATCAAAGTTATTAGCACACAAGACTACAGTGGATTTATTTGCATTTGCATTTCCTCTGCTGTAACAGTACCTAGATAATGTTTTCAATTCAAGTTGCAATGAAGGACACGGCTGGCATATTGAGAGCAATTCTATTCCCCAAGGTGGGGTGTGTGTGCGCGCACACGTGATTTTGTATAGCTGGTAAGACCAGATGTGCTCCAATAACTGAATGCCTATTGCATTTTCTGGTATAATATAAATGGATTATACTTACGAACATAGGTATGCTTACTAGTAGCTTTGATATTTAGGTAGTTAGCAAGAGCATTTACAAGTGCAATGTAAGTGATGCTTAGAATAATTGCTTCTGTCTCAATGAATTACTAGTATAGCCCAATTATATAGTAATTCTTCTGATATGGAAATATTAGATTAAAGGACCTCTGGATGTTTAAGTCCAGTCAAAAGTGACTATGGGGTTGTGGCGCTCATCTCACTTTGCAGGCTGAGGGAGTCAGCGTTTGTCCACAGACAGCTTTCTGGGTCATGTGGCTAGCATGACTAAACCGCTTCTGGTGCAACAGAACACCATAACAGAAGCCAAAGTGCACAGAAACACTGTTTACCTTCCCACCACAGCAGTACCTATTTATCTACTTGCACTGGCAAGCTTTCGAATTGCTAGGTTGGTAGGAGCTGGGATAGAGCAAAGGGAGCTCACCCCGTTGCGGGGATTCAAACTGTCAACCTTCCGATCAGCAAGCCCAAGAGGCTCAGTGGTTTAGACCACAGCGCCACCCGCTCCAGCCAAAACTATGTTTTGTACCATTAGATATCGATACCAGCATATGTGGGATGGAGTCCCTTTTCAACATTTAATTGTCACTATTAAACACATTTTGCAGAGATCAATACAAAACATTCATGTGTTTCTTTTTTTGAACAACAACCAATAGGTACGGATAAATTCAGACTTTGAATAGAATCGAGCTAATGAGAATTAACTGTGCTAATAAGGATTTGTAACGAAATATGCTGAGTGAACCATTAGCTTTGTTTTGGTGAAACACTGCTTTTGTGACAGTGCTATATAACATTTGGGGCTGATGCAATTTGAGGCTGAAGGCAATGATTAATTTTGTTGTCCTTTGCTTTTAGATTTCTTCACTAGTTCCAGGAACAAGAACCCTGGTGTCTCCTGGGAATCTGTGCTAGTATCCACATGGCTTTGTACAGCACAACTGCCAAGCCATTAAGCCACTTTCAATCCAAACTTCAAGTTCAGACAGGTGTTAGCACAGTGGGTTCTGGGAGAGTGCTAGGGAAAGTGCTGGCATCTGCAAAGAAAGATAGTTTGCATGTCACATTATGAGAGGCCTACCGCAGACTTGCATACAGCTGAGCCATGTTGCTGCCAGCCATTGATTTAGTGCCCAAATACACGAATTTTTACTAATTCAACACAGCAAGGTCATTTTAATTCACTTCATCTGGTCTTTCCATTATAGCAGCAAAGTGTTCCAAGGAAACCTTGAAGAATGTTAAGCATTGTTGTTACCTCTTGGCCTATCTGAAGCAAATTGGGAGCACAGATTTCCTAATACAGCAGCTGTTCCAGGCAAGCCCTTTTGCTTGTGGAGCCATTGACATCATTACAAATTTGATTAAATAAGGATTTCTCTCTAATGCACTAAGATGTGAAAATAGATTCATTCTCCTTGTGATGCCGGTACTCAGGGGGCTTTGCAGTCTAAGCTCATTTGCTTTGCCATTTTTGTAGAAACATTTCCTCAGGCATATTTATGGATCAGTGTGATGTTCACAAGCAGGAGAATTTGTTAAAAGCACTGTGTGCTGGGCCAAGCGAATTGCAACACTACACAGGTTGCCTCTTCAAACTTCTGTCCAAAGCATGCACCTAGTTATGTGAAAGGTCATGTCTGTTCTAATAACTAGCAGAGAACAAACATAATGTAAGGAAGAAACACACACAAAAGCATAGCTATCTACAGGTAGAGAGAGAGAAAGACACATGAAGATCCAGTTACACAATCCATGCCCCTATGTGATATAAGCAGAGTGCTAAATGTGAGAAATTTGTTCCACAGGAGCCACTTGAGATCTTGCCTCATCTAAATGAAAGAACCAACAACCAATTTTGCCACATCCCTAATCAATGAAACTGTAGTTCTCATTGGCCCGAGGAACCCTAAATGCACTCTCCACAAACAGATGTGCATTGACTCCAGCCTAAATACTATAAATCAGAGCACCTTTCAGCCCAGACAAGTTTGCAAGAAGGGGGCAAGAGGCATCGGGTCTATGCTGTGTTAGTTTTTCTCAAGCTTTTCAGCCATGACCTCCATTTTGAGTATTGTGTTAAAATCAGAATAAAGTATTCTGGCTGAGAAGAACTATGCAAGCAGAAACCCTTCCACAGATGAATTCTAAGCTCACACCACTTGAAGAGGGGACTTTATTTTCTGAGGGAATATTCTCTACTTTCAACTTTTGGGTGAAGATTCTCATTTTAACTTCTATAAACTTTTTAAACCTAGCACTACCTAAAACCAATCTTCAAGTTTTGTTAATTTTACAAACTGCCTGGTTTCTCTTTACAGTGGTACCTCGGGTTAAGTACTTAATTCGTTCCGGAGATCCGTTCTTAACCTGAAACTGTTCTTAACCTGAAGCACCGCTTTAGCTAATGGGGCCTCCTGCTGCTGCCACGCTGCCGGAGCATGATTTCTGTTCTCATCCTGAAGCAAAGTTCTTAACCCAAGGTACTATTTCTGGGTTAGCAGAGTCTGTAACCTGAAGCGTATGTAACCTGAGGTACCACTGTATTCCTGTTTCCCACCTACCCACTTTATCTACTGGTAAGAGTGGGGCTGACATCTCTATCCCCATTCCCATCCCAATACCACAACACTCAACTTCTGGCCTGGTTGTGTTTATACTTGGTCTTGATGAGGCCAGAGAAGGATGAATGCTGGGGTCATCTGTCAACAGCTCCTTACACAGAGGAACATTCATTCATGTCATTTGTGTTCATCTGCAACCTCAGATATAGGTCCAGATATAGGTTTATGGCATCAGAGAGAATGAGGCCTCAGATATTGAAGTCAAGCAAACATCTTTGGGGTGGAGAGGGTGCCAAGAAAAGGAAGTGGGTGATATTTTTATCATTCGAGATAGAATACTGGCAAGACATCACCTGTATGGGCTAGTGAATAAATAGTGAATAATTGAATAAAGGAATTAATGGAAAAATGAGAGGAGAGAAAAGTTCTGAAGTTTTCTCCTCTTTCATAGTTGAAGAAGACCAGAAAGCCTACTGAAAGTTAAAGTAAAACAAACAATCCTGTGTTATGCTATCACAATAAGATAAACACACGAAAGAAATTACTATGGCTTGTGGTTGGCATTTGTGGTCTGACTTGGGCATTCAATTATTCCCCCTCTGTTAGTTTTTTGGTCACTTTGGAGTAGCAGATGAATTCATGTTATTTTTTTCAATTTCAGTATGAGCACAAACATATCCATATCCATATTACTACTTGAGAAGCGGTCATACCATTCTCCAGCTCCAATAATGCTTCAACATTTTTACCTCTAGCCTTAGAAACTGGGGCCCTGTCAACATTAGACAGTTCAATGACATTATAAGAAGTGGGCTTAGGTTTCGTCCTGATCCTGCCATTTTCTCCTTTTCACTGCAAGAGTCTATTCTGTACATTTCCCCAGCTCCATATTGTAGAAGATGTGAAACATGAAGCTGTGATAAACCACAGATGCACTGGGAATCTTTCTTATATTAAATTGCTTAAATATCTGTATCAAAGGTCAAAGATGGTGATGATATGGGGAATTGAAAGAATGCAGTTCTGCACATTATCTGCCCAGCTAGAACTGCCAAAACCCATCGGATTCCATTAAAATGGCACATTAAAAATCTATTCTTTCATTTGAAGTCTAGATAGGACTTCCTCAAGTATATAATGTGGACAATTTGGCAGGTGAACTGCATTGCAATGATTATTAGTGAACACTTTCTTTCTGATACTTAATCAGTCTTAGTTTTTACTTATTTCTTATGCTGGAGTGATCCCTGCATGGTGAGCAGCACGCTGACATTTGTTAGCTTGTAGATTGGTTTTCAGAGATGTACAACTCTCTGTAAAGGCTGCTATCATACTTTTTTACTAATTGCACGTAAGCAGCCATAACTAGCCAATAACTATGTTGTATTTCGTTTTAGAAGCACTAGTTGCAAGGTAATCACAGAACAATGAGAAATGGATGTTCTCTATGGGGCAGGATTAGCTTCATTAAGCACAAATCAGAATCACAGTCTGGAAATCTGCAGTTTGAACGTGAACCTTAACAAACCCAACTGTGAATTAGTCACACACCAAACAGATGATGCAGTAAAACTGTTCCTGGGCCAGGAAACATGAAATAGGGTACTGCATCATTGCACACTACATGGACATGGGAAACAGCAAGTCATATCGATATTTGAGTTGTATAGGGAATTATTTTAAAGGAGAAATGTCAACAATGTGACCCCCGTACGTAACCTGAAATTGTATAATCCAGGAATCTTTTCACCATTGAGTCTGTTCTTTGTGAGAGCTAGGCCTGAAATCAAGATTCCAGTGCTAGACTAGTGCTTGATGATTTGCAACCGTTGTTACTGAGTCTTCCCACCACATGGGAGAACTACTAGGGTACCAACAGAAACAATGCAACGGATGCTTGGATTGGGACTAACAGTACATACCTGCTCATTTTTATCTAGAAGTACATTCCACTGGTTTCAGTTGGATTCACTCCCTGGCAGGTGCATAGGGGATTGTAGCAGGAAAATTTCTGCCTTAGGCAGAAATCTTATAACAGAAAGCCAGACATCGTGCACATAAACTCAGTTGAATTTACTTCATGGTAAATGAGTAGTATCATGTACAATCAGCCAAGACAAGAAGCAAAGAGGTAGAGAAATCTTCTATTGACCCAATAACTGTTGGGGGGGAAAATAGCAACCTTCCCCTCTTAGCAAATCAAGCATAGTTGGAAGTATTCCTTCTCTAAGGCTAAAATAAAATAATCAAAGCACAGAATGCTGTCCCTCCACCTTGCTCTTCTGGTGTCCAAACTGAGACTTGTTTGTCTGTGGGATTGGGTCAAGAAGGGGGAAGACAAGGATGCAATGTGTGGGCGTGTGTCACATCAGCATCAGTGATGGACAGAGCCAAGCCAAGTTGTTTAAGCGGATATTGTCCAGTTCTTGATTCTTCAGTGCTTGGGTAGCAGCTATCCCATCCTCCTTGAAAGGCAGAGTTGGTCACCTAATGAAGCAGAGTAGGAGATAGATAGTTGGTCTCATATCAGTTTTGCACTTACTTTGTACTGTTGACCAGTAGAGGAGCAATTAGTGGGGTACCAGTAAATTCAATAGGTTGATTTTTTTTGTTTTATTGGTCATTTTGGCAGGGATATGTATGAAAGGTACTAAGAAGGAAGAACAGATGAACACCCTGGGGAACTTTTCGCAGGTGAGTCTTGAGATTTGGGGACCCATTGGCAGGGTAACTTGTATCCCCTTCTTACAGATGTGGGCCACTCGGTGGGCAGAAAGCCCTCCCACATCCCCCAAAGAGGTGCGATCTGAGGGAGGGCATGGTATTATTACCACATCTCCACCAGGCAGGCTAGGCTTGCCCAATAACACCAGGCTCAGTAGCCTTTTAGAGAAAGACTCTCCTCCTGCAAGAGGAGAGGGGTTGTGGGCGGGATCCGATCTCCACCTCAAGCAGGGGGCATTGGCCCCCTGCCACCCACTCACCTGGCTGGCACACCACGCCCACGAGCAAGTGCCCAACCAGGTGGCTTGGAAGGGGCGTGGACAGCAGCTTAACTTGCTGCTGTGCCAGCCACGTGGCCTCACTTTTCGCTGTCCCATCGCGAGTCACCCACCCTCCACTCCCTTAGAGCTCAGGGTTTCAGTTTTTCTCTTGGCCTTGCTATGGACCTTAGGTTGGTCGCCCAGGTTGTCCAGGGGGCCTGGTAGGAATTTTTCCATTTGGCATTAGGCTTTGTGGTTTTTTCGCCTACCTCGTAGCAACCGTCACAACTTTCATGGTATTGGTGGGTAAGTTAGGCATTGGAATAATGTCTTTGTGGTGTGTGGAAGGGCTATGTGTGACCATCGCCTACACCTTCAATTTTTGGGTATTCCGTTAAAGGAATCCGGCAGTCGTGTATCCTGTCCGATGCCTGTGTGGCAGGGGGCCATGGCACAACCCTCGGTGACATCAGGGGAGAGCTTATAGTTGGATTAGCATCAACAGGCTCCACCTACTGGTGAATAAACCCACGTGTTTTAGAGATCCAATGCCTAAGCCAATACCTTTCACTTGCTGTAATCAATAAAGTTGTGGCCTTTTCTTGCCCATTAACCTTATATTACATGTCCGTGTGTCTTCATTCCACCAAGCAGGGATTGGGTCCTTGAACCACAATAATAGTTTTCAGCCCAGTCTTTTCCCATTCAAATCTCCTTTTGTTAAAATGAAGTGACCCTAGTTTCACCCAGCTCATGGTCTCTGCCTTGTCATTTCTGACCTCTGTTCACAATTCAAATCAAAATTCACCCCACCACAACTTTCTAATCCATGTAAATAAGAAAGATACAGAAAGCCAGCCATTTCACATTGAAAAGTTTCATCTTGGAAGTACAGAACCATGTGTGATAGGCAGATCTTTTATATGTTATTATTTTGGGTAAATCTGCATCTTTCTCATCTGCTCCATTTCTGATCAGATTAAATTCCCAGTTTACAACCGAACTGCAAACATGTTGGTTGCGTGGTGGATAATAAATACCTATAATTCCAATCTGTGTGTGCAAGTAATTTGTTTCTGAGAAAAGGACCTTTCCTTAATGCAATTAGCAGGCAAGGTAATTACTGCAGTTGACGTGCGCTAGAGAATTATTGATCTAAAAACTCTGTAATTTGGGTCTGGCCACCATTTTATTTGTATTTTGTTGTCAAAAGAGAGAAAGACATTGTGTCCAGTTCCCCTGGACTGTCAGCGAATGTAAATTATCTACCATGCTGAGGCAGCTCACAGATATCACCACCAAAAACACACACAGCCCTATTTCCCTAAGGTATTTCTCAGGGATTATATATCTGTTGTGTTGTTTCTTTGAGCTGTATAGAAATAAAAGCTAGAAATGTATGTATAATCTATGTATAAATGTTTCAAGGTCATGCTTTTCAGATTATAATTAAAAATCACAGAACCCAAGGGCAAGAAATTGGGATATCCTTAGTCAACATACACTATAATCTGGGTCATCTTTGCTAGTGTCAAAAACAGCAAGTTTAGACTCAGTACAGACACACTTTTTAACATTAGGGCACATGCAATATTTTAGGGAATTTGAACAAGATTCCTTTAAGCAGCCTTTTTGTGGTGGAGGAAAAGTTTGGAGATATTCATTGTAGATTATCTGCAGTCTCTTAAAATTGCCTTTTGGGATAATTGCAGCAGTTGTAATTCACAAACATCTAAATTGGTAGGGCGGTGAAGTTGATCTATTAAATAAACAAATACACATATATAGATTTGTAAAGGTTTCCTGAGGTTCCTAAGGTGGCTACGCTGTACATTAAAGCTGTAATTTCCTCATTTCTTTAATTAAACCTTAAATAGGAAATTAATTTCTGTCCATTGAAATTTTTCGCCAGGGGAAAAAAGAAACCTAAGCTTTTAGCATATGTTTACTAGCTCAGTATTCTGTCTCCAGTTGCAAGTGACACTTCTGAGGAAGACTTGTAATGGGTGAAGCAGTATCACATCACTCTAAGACATCCCCCCCTTTCATCTTTTTTAAAGAAGTGTTCTTCAACCATCATCACGATCCTTGATTTCATATCCAGTAACATGTCAGTCATTGTAATTAACATAATGGCCCTTATCACAACACATGAGGACAAAAGCTATCATTCTTGTTACACATAAGGAAAGATGATTTAATCTACCACAATCACTTAAGAGTTCTCTGTCTGAATGAATTCCTAAAATGTAAATGTAAAGCTGAGAGGGGCTGAGATCTGTCCATCCCTACATTTCAGCACCATTTAAACCAATGCACTTCTTTGAAAAACTTATTTAAATCCAAACAAAACAACAGACAGTACCCTGTGAGGATTCTGCAAGTTTGGGACGATGGATCTGCATGCCCAATCAATTTCTTTATCAAAAATATACATTGTTTGTTTGTTTGAATTATGTATATGCATACTGCTCTTAGCTGTTCACAAAACCTCAAAGTGAGTGAAAACATTGAAATATGGTACATTAAAACAATAATTCATTTAGGTAAAGGTAAAGGGACCCCTGACCATTAGGTCCAGTCATGGCCGACTCTGGGGTTGTGGCGCTCATCTCGCTTTATTGGTTGAGGGAGCTGGTGTACAGTTTCCAGGTCATGTGGCCAGCATGACTAAGCCACTTCTGGCAAACCAGAGCAGCACATGGAAATGCCGTTTACCTTCCCGCCGGAGCAGAACCTATTTATCTACTTGCACTTTGACGTGCTTTCGAACTGTTAGGTTGGCAGGAGCAAGGACCAAGCAACAGGAGCTCACCCTGTCGCAGGGATTTGAACCGCTGACCTTCTGATCAGCAAGTCCTAGGCTCTGTGGTTTAACCCACAGCGCCACCCGTGTCCCTAATAATTCATTTTAAAACAACTTAAATTTAAAAAGCAACAACAAGACTATATGGCCCAGCATCAAACAGGCAAAGAACATCACTTAGTCCAGGCACCCCCAACCTTCGGCCCTCCAGATGTTTTGGACTACAATTCCCATCATCCCTGACACTGGTCCTGTTAGCTAGGGATCATGAGAGTTGTAGGCCAAAACATCTGGAGGGCCAAAGGTTGGGGATGCCTGACTTGGTCAAATGCTTGAGTGATTAGCCCTTATTTATTAGTCAGTTATTGATTTTTTTAAAAAATATACAAATGTGACTTACCTGAAAGAAGACCTCTAAACAGTTTACAACCATCTACAATGGTCATTTTTAAAAAATGGGGCTGTGCACAGCCTCTGTGACCTGGGACACAGCTGCAGTCCATCCCTAGATCAACCTGCAGAACACTCATAAACTGCACCCTGAATCTGATCCTGACTTAGTTTGGGAGCAGGGAGGTTTAGTTAGAGATCAACTCCCTAACTAAACATATAGTGGGGGTGGGGGAGACACCTTGTGTCTCCTCTTATCTTGAGCAAGAACAGGGATGCTGCCCGCACCTGCATTTATAGCATTAATTGTTCATTCCATTACTTATGTTGATGTTATCTATTGGGAGGGCAGGGAGTGGAACTGGGACCCCTGCTTCAACACAGGTTACTTTGGCGTTCTCTAGCAGTGGTGTGCCAAAACAGACAACTTTACATCTGTTTTTCTTTTACCCTATTCATGATGCCATGTCGCAACTTGCAGCAGCAAAGATGTCCAAGCAGCTCACACGAAAATGACAAAGGCACAAACTAGGACTTTATATGTCAAAACAAGTACTTCAAAAGTGGTTCAGTAATGTATCAGCAGCCAGTTCATAGCTTTTGACTCCCATGTTATATGTTGATGGTGAGCTACCCCTGCACAAAGGGTCACTGTGGCATTCTGCACTAGCTGCAGCTTCCAAACCAGACCCAATGTCAGTCCCACATAGACTGAATTGCAGTGGTGCAGATGGGAAACTACCAGCTCGTGAATGGTTTTGCTGTACTTAAATGTATATTTCCAAAAGGTTGCAGAGTTCAAGTCTGTTAAACTTATTTGTGGCCTCATTTTCCAGCAACAGGCAGAGAAAGCATAACGCTGAATTATTTTGCCGCTCTGGTCTAAAAAGACACCTCCTTTAGAGCAGTTTTGCTGATCATACACCAAAAGCTAGGGGAACCCTGGAGCATTACTTCAGAATAAGTGCTTTGGCAAATTGCTGGAGTTCTTAAACAGAATCCAAAAGCCAGACCTCTGACATGCTGCAGTGCAATAGTAAAAGGGAAAAAATGGATCCAAGAGAGCACAACTTTGGTTGGGTAATCATGCATCAAAAGTGTTAGGAGACTTGTATACCCTGGAGGTGCAATGAGAATGTTATTATTCCCTGACAAGTACAGCATCTGGGACTGGTTTTGTATTGCTCTGAAAAAGGTTTTGTTTGGAGGGGAAGAATTATTGCTTTTGTATAATACACAAAAGTGCTGTTGGCTCTTTCGACTGGAACATGCATAGCAGTTCAACAGTTTGAATGTGAGAGAGCTTACAACCACAACAGCACAACAAAACAAGGCAAGGCAATGAGCTCCAAGGATGCATTTGAGAGCAATGCCTATCACCCAAATTGAAACTGTCCAGTTTCCGGCTGGTTATAGTCACTATAGTCACTATAGACTATTGATTTTATTTTATTTTTATTTTATAAAAAATGAATAGAGAATGTGACTCATTTCATTTCACTCATTTCACTGTAACAAGTCCGTTGTTTTTTTTTAAAGGGATTCTTCCATGCACAGCTTCTAATGTCAGATCTTTGTCTCTTTGTCTCTTCGGATTTTTGGATTGACCTCTCCCCATATCTCCTGAATCACTCTAAAACATTTGTTACTTAATTTCCTTTTTACTAGCAGTGCCAAGCAAGGAAATGACCATCAACTGTAAACACATTCCATTTGCCAGAATATAATCCATAGTAAATGCATCAGAAATGGTTTCAGTTTCTAAGAAAGCACACAGTGTGTGTGCCTCACACAGCACTTCCTTCTTCCCTTACCAGCCTTCCACAGCCATCTCAGGCTAATCAACAGAGAAGACATTGATCTAAGTGGTATCATGACCTGCTGTTGATGGAGAAGTGGATATTATGAAACAGCTTACTCCTGTGATCACACTTTATAATGTACTATCATATTGTGTTGAGCCAAAGCTGATTGTCATTAACTCTTTGAGGCTGAAAACTTAGAAAGAACACAATGTATTTCAGCTAAACAAGTAAAAATCTGGTGTAGGGAGCTGTTGAAAGGTGACTCCAATCTTCAACTCCCCCTTGCTTCATTATCGCCAAGTATGAACGCAACTAGACTGGAAATTGGCTGGTGTGGTGATAGGACGGAGATGGAAGAATTGACCCCCACCCTTATCAGTAGATAAATGTTAGCTATTTGTGATAAAAAAAATACACAAATAGTTGAAGATAAATCTCTTTACTTGTCAGGCTGGCAACAGTTTAAGAGCAAGTATTCCTTACAAACTCCTCCAGAGAGTGTCTGTACGAAGCTTTCTTACCTTCACAGTCAAAGATGGAACAAACAGGAATAGCCAACTAACTCCCAACTGTCACCTCCCAACTGCCAATTGCCAACTGCCACCTCCTTTCCCCATCTATTCTTTGTGAAATACATTCCCTGTGAAATTACATTACAAATACAGGGTGGCTCAAAAGTAGGCATGCTGCTTTAGAATCCACTTTCTTTGTTCTGGACTCATGTTCGCCGTCATCGTTCACAATATCAGTAAAGAAGAACTTTACCTTTTATCTGTCTCCAATATTCTTTCCAACTGCCAGCCTCAAATTTAACTGCCACTTCATTGTGTGTCCTTACAAAGAGAGGAACTTGGGAAGTTTGGTCAAATTTCGCAAACCCATTTACAAAAGCTGATTCTAGGGTTTTTCAATGCAGTGACATTGATCACTAGTTAATAGACATATAAGACCTTTTAACTGATTGACACATCGGTATTCCATGATTGAGTTAAACATTTCCAACTCTTTTCACAACAAATCAGTTCATTAGAGCCGAGCCAGGGATCCAGCTATGACACAAACATGTCCATGTTTCAAACATTCCCCTTCTTTTGGGTACTTTTTATTGAAGGGTGCTAGAAAGAGTGTGAAAGTATTGGTGGGGAAAGAGAGGAGGCATTCCCTCTTTCCTTCTTGTAAGCAACTGGGGCCAAAACTTCCAGCTTTGCTGTGCTGCATTGAAATAATGAAAATCTGCCACAGTACAGTGCAGCGAAACTGGGACCTTTGGCACAGGTGCTCTTTCAAATGGGCATCTGGGTGCACATCTGCATGCGTAGTCAAACAAGCATCCCATTTAGCCTCAGTACGATATGTGCCAGAATCTGTATCCAAACGCAGGGCATAGGGGAAAGGGAAGTCATCCCCATGGTTCTGAGACAAAAGGGTGACAGTGCAGTGAGACAGGAATCTCATTGCTGTGTTGCCACGGCAACTGGGCATAGCTCCGTGTCTTTCTGCACTGTGCTGTGATGGGACTGCAATGAAAACACTCTCACACAGCAGTGCAGAAAGACAGTGAAGGTCATCTGTTTGCCTAAGCAACACATGGACACTTCCCTCACTTCTTAGTCCTGCTTTGTTTACAATGAGTTATGGTTCTATGAAGCCAGGTCTGATTGGTTGCGCTCCGAGGCACCCAAGTAAAATAACTTCACACTGACACTAATTTTTGGTTTAAGTTATTGGGCTAAATTGAGGCCACAACTTTATTGATTACAGCAAAGTGAGTGGTATTGGCTTAGGCATTGGCAACTGACTATAAATGACTCCCACCTCTCTCAGGTAGTCTGGAAGGGTAAACACCAAACGAGGGAGCAAGATCGATGAAGACCAACCAAAGCTCACCCCTGGGTTCCTGTGGTCCTGGCATGATCCTAGCCCCTCAACCGGACTTCGGACAAGATCCAGGACCCCCAGATTCCTTTACCGGAATACCCTTATTCATGGAGGGGCAGGGGATGGCCGCACCTCCCCTCCCACACACTTCACTAAGCCAATGCCTAACCACCAAACCTTACAAAGTTTTGATGATTGCTAAGGGGGTAGGCGAAAACCAAGTGGCCAGTGCCAAATTGCCAAGTGGACAAAACTCCTACCCGGCCCCTGTTCCAAAACAGGTGACCGACCAACATCCGAAGCAAGGTCAATGCAGCAACCTATAAATAGGGACGGGAGGGTGGGTGTTCGGCAGCACAAAGCAAGTGCCTTGGCCACGGCGCGCTGCCGCTTTTAAAGGCCCCCCAATCACACCACCTGCCTCGGATTGGCTCAAATGGCCTGGCATGATTGTGGGGCCATAATGACAGGCCTTGGCCATGCCCAGCTCCTGCCACCTAGCGGGGTGTGGGTGTCTCAGGGGCCTGAGTGCAACCAGGACCCTCATTAAGGAGGATCCCATATATGACACACCTTTTTGTCAACATGATTCCTGATTGGCTTGGATCTCTGTTTCATCCAAGCCAATCAGGAATTATGTCTGTTTGTGGTGGAGTGGAGTTGCAGAATCATGAAGTTGCATAACCAATCAGACTTAGCTACACAGAACCAGCACTCTGGGCAAACAAAATAGGAAAGAGTGTCTATTTGTTATTTAGGTTTTCAGGGGACTAGGAAGTTATTCCTTTTTAATGCAAACATTTTCATAGATAAACATTAGACTGCATGTTGCAATAAATCAAATAGTGCAGTGGTCAGCGTTGTGCAACTTGTGTTTAATAGGCAACCTAAAGCAAACAAAATATACTACACATGCAGATTGTTAGAATGTCACTGAAGAGCTTCTGTCCTGGTTGAGATTCATTGGGGCTTTTTTGTTTAATACAACTCTACAATATACATACATGACTGTGAAAACTGCGAGACGTTTCATAGAAGATTCCATATTGCCTGCTCCAAATTCTTTTTCTTCTTCCTAGACGTTCAACAGATTTTTTGAATTAATGAAGCCATTCTCAAATCCCCTGATGGATGTGAAGCAACTGGCTCCATTGAAAAACAAAATGAAACTTGACTAGAGTAATTTATCTCTCATTGAATAAAACAGTTGTTTATTCATACCACACTGAAATAGTAGATAAATATTTCATGAATAGCTCTTGGAAAAGTCTTTTAGTTAGTTTTCAAGTCTTCTCATTTGTTAAACTTCTCGGAAATGTTTTCCAAGACAGTTAATGACAACTCCTATGCTCCAGGGATTACCTCTACACCTATATGATAGCTCCTATCTTCATTAAAGAGAGTTGCCTTTGCAATGGAAGAAAACAAGTCTGTCTTAACAGATACCTGCTGACGCCTTTGATAGAAACAAAAGGTTTTGCAGGAGGAAGCATGAAGAAATTTCAAACCCATCTACAGAGAAAATTCTGTGATTATCAATATAGAAGTAGCAGAAAAGAAGCATGAAATGAGACAGAAAGCTGGAAGGCAAGTACATCCACAAAAAGGGAAGTGTTAGAAAACATTACAGTCAACTTGAAAAACAGTAGTGCCACACAATCCATCCAAGTCTTACAGAAGTTCATGGAGGATGAATGGTGAAATCCACACTGTAGGCTAAACCTTGATTGGTAGGACTCAGATTGGATGCAAATGTGTATGGCAGCTTAGAGCTGAACTAGAGTCACTGTCACATTTTTTTATGTTGTATAGGTGATTTTTTAAATATAAAAAATAGCTAAACGGTTAATAAATGTGGGGGAGGGAAAGATTAGGATCGGGGTGGTGGTGGAGAAGGGTGGCTTTAATTTTTTTCCTCTGCCAGAGTTTCATTCAAAACCAGCTCCCTCCCTGGCTTGCTACTCACATCTTCCATTGTGAAAAGTACATGTGGGGTTTGGGGGTGAGGGCTGAATCTTTGGACAGCAGTCCAAGCCAGGAACCAGACAAACCAGGGATGATGAAGAAGAGGAGACTAAGGAACAAACCAGGACCAAGGAGAAAGTCAGGACTGAAGAGCAAAATGCAAAGTCACACAAAAATATATCACCAAGCACAACTGCTCTGCAACAAGGAGTATAAACAAGCA